TACTAAAAGGTACTCAATGAGTTCCTATCCATTTGTTCAATTATTCAACAGATTTTGATTGAACACCTATACTACCTGGTGCCATTCTAGATTCTGGGGACATAACTGTTAACAAAGCAGCCAAAAATCTCTACTACACAGACTGTGAGTTCCAATCAGAGGAGTAAGGTATTTTAAGTTACATTATTTGTTATATTACATATATACTTGTAGAGTGAATGAATTAATTGAACAAATACTTACTGAGGACTTACTATATGTTGGACACTGTTATAAGCACAGAGATGAGATCCATGAACAGAAATCCCTGTCTTCTTGGGGACAGAATGATAAATAATATCATTCTGAATGATAGATAAATAAATTACGTGGCATACTAGAAAATGCTATGGAACAAACAGAACACTTTAAGGGGGAATCAAGAATGCTGGGGCCATAGAGATGAAATTTTAAATGGAGTAGTCAAGGTGGCCCTTATTGATGAGGTGACAGTTTATGTTCTAGTGGGAGGAATGAGTTTTCTGAAATGTAACTAAGAGAATAATGGTGTACTGGAAAAAGTCAGGATGTTGCATCTATCTGTGGCTCAAATATTTTTTGGAGGAAGATAAGATAACACGGTAGTGTGGGCTTGTTGGGTTGAAGCTATTGATGAATTATCCAAAGGAGAATGCCCTATAGACAAGTAAATATGTGGGGCTGGAGTCTGCTTATGAGGTCAGGGTGGATGTATTAGATTTAGGTATCATCAATATATAGAATTGTTTCACCAAAGAAAGAATAGAGAGGAAAAAAATTGGGGGCTCATGTCTGAGGCTTAGAAAATGTCCTTTATCATGGGTTAGAAGGAAGAAGATATTTTTGTATTGTCTAGAAACATCACTGGGTGATTGATTAAGGTCAGTAGTAAAACAAACAAACAAGCCAGTGAACACATTTTACATCTTATCCTTCCCCAGTCCTGATAATAGATGAAAAAGTACACTTGGGGAGGAAAATATATGAAGCATGGGCTGCCAAAACTTCAATACTTTTCCAAAAGGCTGTGATAAGCAAAAAATTCGTCATAACCATCTGTGACTAGGGGCGACAGAGGCTGTCCAGTCCACTCTGCCTAGTTCTTGCAACTTCTCCATGGAATAGGCTGGGAATATGGCACAGTCATTGAGTCAACTGTGGGTGGAGCCACAGGCCAAGTGCAGGTACTTCACTGTTCAACCCATGCAGAGGAACCAATTTTTCTTGGTGGTAACCTTGGGGATGAAATCAGGGACAGAACTCAAGCCTTGGTTGCTATTACTTTTAAGTTCTTTTCCCTCCCCTCCCCTCCCCTCCCCTCCCTTCCCCTCTCCTCCCCCTCCTCCCTGTCTTCCCCTCCCCTCCCCTCTCCTTCCCTTCCCTTGTCTTCCTTCTTTCCTTCCTCTCTCTCTCTTTCTCTTTCCCTCTTTCTCTCTTTCTTTTCTTTTCTTCTTTCTTGACAAGTCTTACTCTGTCGCCCAGGCTGAAGTGTAGTGGTGCAATCTTGACTCACTACAATGTCCACCTCCTCGGTTCTAGTGATTCTCCTGCCTCAGCCTCCCAAGTAGCTGGGACTACAGGCATGCACCACCATGCCCAGTTAATTTTTATATTTTTGGTAGAGACAGGTTTTCACCATGTAGGCCAGGCTGGTCTTGAACTCCTGACCTCAAGTGATCCACCTGCCTCAGCTTCCCAAAGTACTGAGATTACAGGCATGGGCCACCACACCCAGCTGCTATTTTCTTTTTATCCATAAAGGACCCCAATCTAAGCAATCCCAACAGTTCCTGTTCTTATCTTCCTTCCCAGTTCCTTTCTCTCTTGGCTAACCATTGCCTTTATACTGTCCCAATTCTGCCTTTATTTCATTAACACTCTCAAATATAGTCTTAGAGAGCTGTAGCAAGAAAAATCACACTGAAGTGTGAATTACCAACATTGTTAATAAAAGATAAGGCATTTACTAGAATTCACTTGTTCATCTAGTCAACAGATATTTGTTGAGTGACTATCATGAGACAAGCACTTGCTAGGTCCTGGAAATAAAGTAGCGAGTAAGTAGCAGTTCTGGCATTCGTCAAATACATAGTCCTAATTCAGAAAGAATTAGAGAGTCAGATGGGTAAAACTTACATAGTAAGAAAGTGCTAAAATAGGGATAAATTAAGGGCAATGCAGTCTTTGGGAACAGGGGTAGGAAAGGGGAGAGAGTATTCCAAGCCAGGGGGGCAATGTGCACGAAGGCCTGGAAGCAAGAATAAGGGACTAAGAAAAGGTGAGTGCACTGATGGGGAGGTAGTAGCATAGGAAAGCCTGCAGTGGTCAGCAATGGCCAGAGCATAAGGGCTTGTAAACACTATTAAGGAATCTGGACTTCATGCTGAGGGCCTTGAGGACCCAGCTAATGGTTTTAATCTGGGGATTGTCATAATCAGATCTGCATCTTAGAAAGATCACATTTGTTGCAGTTGCAGTGTGGAGAACAAATTGGAGGCAGAGACAGGTCAGGAGGTAACCACAGTCATCCTGGCAGGAGTCGACAGTGACCTGAACTATGTACTGTCAGAGGGGATGAAGATAAAGGGACAGAGTCAAGAGATAGGAAGAAGGCATTCATGATGGATTGAATGGGGTCAGAGAAGGAGAGAGAGGAGTCAAGGATGATTCCTAAGTCTCTGACTGGGATGGAAATACTCCATGATGGTATAATTGCTGGCATCCGTGACCTGGGTCTATAGCATAGATATTTTTTTGGGTGGAGTGCATGCTTGTGACACTTAAAATCACATTATGCAAACAGCTGTTTATCCCAAATATTTACCTTTGAGGATGGCTCTGGCAATCATTTTTACTTCCTGGCATAGGGAGTTCTTTTGTCATGTGAGGACCGGGAGTGTTTGTGGCCTGAGTACTTTCAGAGTCTAGTGAAGGACCACAGAGTATTTTCTAGAATTATTCAGGGTATTGGCAGTTTTCATCTGAATGATGATAACTTGAGTCCAGCCCCCTGCCCTCACATCATGAAGTCTCACTTTTATGCAATCTCGTTTCCCTCTAGATCCCATTCTTGCCACCTCCCGTTTAAAGTGGAAGCACTTGACAGCTGGAAGTCTTAACTGTGTGACATACTGAATTGAATCAGCTTTCCTTTACTACTGTTTATATCTGAGCACTGTGTATCTCTCTCATACACACACACACACACACACACACACACACACATACACGCGCACGCGCGCATGCGCATGCACACACACACACACACACACACAGATTTATTTAAAGATAAAGTCTGCACAACTTGACAAACTTAACAAAACTCTGGGCATCCTAAATTGCAATCCCTGCTATGTACATATTGAGAGTGCTATGCCATAGATATTTCGATGTTGTACGTCTAAAGGAGTCTACCTAAAAATCAGGAATTATCATTAAATATGTTTTATAAAAGTTCTCATTATAGTTTATAATGTAACCAAGGATGGTTAATGTTGCACGTAAGGAGTGTTAGAGCTGTAAATGAGAATACTTGACAAAGCAATGAGATTTAAAAAGAAAATAAGTGCACCTGGTCTGCCTTAAATGCTTTCTAAAAGACTCTTTCAGGAAAGTTCCTGCAAGTGAATTAAGTCTCTGTTTCTCCCGGAGCTGCCAGCACTTTCTTTAGCCAACACAACAGCTGCACCATGCGGTGCTGAGCTGCAAAAGGCGCAGCATGGCTGTGGTCACTGCCCCAGCCCTGGCAGACTGACCTTCAGAGGCTCCTAGCCGGCACATTTAACAACTGTTAGGAGGCCAGATTTTTCACTTGCGCAACAGTAGATAAACCATTTGCTTTCAAATATTCAGTCCCTATTAACTGAATAGAAGGCATCTGAAGGCGAACAGCATGGCCATCCTTCAAGTTAGGCCTCCTGGTTACTGGCATTGATAACCATGCTCAAGGCTGAGATGATAAAATGGTATCGTTCTTCAATTCAAGGACAAACACGACACCAAGCTGACTGGTGTTTTAGAAGATGTATTTTTAACAAAATAATGGTTTATCTGTACATCTGTGCTTTCAGATAATGGATTGTCTTGAACCCTGGCCAAAACTCCTGAAGGGTTTCATATCTCTGGAATTAGAAAAAGATATAGTTTTATAGGTGTTTTCTTTTCTTCCTCAAGGGATTCTTGTTGCTGAATTATGTGCCTACCAAGGCCTGTGGTGGAAGAGGGTAGGTTTGTGAATTAGAGAGGTCCAGTGAAAACTTCTATTTATGTGACCCCTGATGGCTGATGGGAGTGATTGGTAAACCTAGACAATTTTTCTTAAAGGCTAATTTCCTTCCAATAACAGAGTAGCGCATTGATGCCTGGTCTGGTTGGTGTTTCCTGAGATTCTATCACTGCTTGCTGTCACATAGACAAGGTACATAGAAAAGTAAATACATGGGTCTACATTCATTAAGGTATCCTCCCGATATTGTCATTAAAAGCTGTTGTGGCTATTGGCTGGCCCATTTTGACTGCCTGTCTTAGGCTACAAAGACATGAACAAAAGGGAGGGTGGGAATTCTTGCTTTGGGGATTATACCTTTACCAATGCGGAGAAAATGAAAAGGTAGAAAGCTGTGGAGAAATTGGGATGAATCAGAATCATGTTGGCTTCTTTGTTCCTTGCCAAGCCCATGTATCCCATTTTATTCCAGCAAGGGCCAGAGCACTGGAGTGGGATTCAGGACAACTGGGTACTTTGTCCCAGTACTACCATGGACTCACTGGGAGACTGCACAAATTGATTCCCTCTAAGTGTAAATTTCCTCAGTGGGAAAATGAAAATGCTGCACCAGGCAGTGCCAGTTTTTGGATCACCCAGAACTAGTTGCTTTGCCTTTTACTCTTCCTCACACTGCTAGAGATGGCTGGGGTCTTCTCCTTAAAGATACTGCTAGTTCAAAGCTTGCAGAAATCGGTAAACGTCTGCCTGTTTTTCCAATAGATTTGTAATTGACCATGTAGGAAATTTCCATCAGCAGTTCTTAAAATGTAATCCAGAACTGGTGGAAGTTGTTAGCAATGCATATTCTTCAGACCCCCTTCAGATCTGCCAAATCTGAGATTGTGAAGGTGTGGTTCAACAATCTGTATTTAATAAGCCTTGAATTCAGGTGATTCTGACTCATGCTAATATTTGAGACCACTGGTCTAAATGAAGTACAATGCATTCGATGAGGCTAAAAAGCATTGGACTCTTGTTCTATTATGTCTTGCTGATCTTGGTCACAGTTGGTATTTTTATCTTTTAAAACATGCCCAAGGACACCTGAGATAAGATGAAATTTGAAACGAGCTGAGTCAACTCTGCAGGTCAAAAGCTTGTCACATTTAAACATTTCTGCTTTTTTTGGTGGGGGACTATTACAGAATGGTAAAATATAGCCCCAGGCCTGAGCAAAGAGAATTTTGGGAAATGTAGTTTATTTATTCATTATAGGGGTGCTTTGTAAAGGGGAGGGAGGGTTCTGGGAACCATCTCCCTGGGGAGGTCTGAAGTTTTCCAGGGCACCCCAGACTTGGCTGAAAGACAGCCATTTCTGCCGGCACTGGCAGCAGCTCTCTGTAAAAGCCCGTGCATTTTATCTTTGCGTGTTTGTTTTTTCTGCCTGTTGAACACTGGCTCTCATACCATCTTGTTCTGTAATTCAAAACTGACTTTTTAATTAGGTCTGAAAAGGAATGGTTTCCAGGCAATTCCTTTACAAAACTGGTAAGGACAGTTGCATTTGCTTTGACTTGTTTTGATGTAATTTGTCTGAGAGGGCTGCAGGGTCGCTCTGTTTTAAGTTATATTGGGCTGGCCTCTCCCCTGTGTTTGTTGTGGGAGGGGAGGCGGGCTGAATTCTGCTCTTGGGAACTTCGTGGGGATGAGCAGAAGATGCTGGCAGACTTTTCTGTTTCATTTTTAGAGAGTAAACTGAATTGCTTCATGTGTTCAAGTCCACCTGGCTCAAGTTTAGCCATTGGCCAGAGGAAAATCTTAACCAGCTAAATTACAGGGGCCATGGGGCCTGCTAAGAGAGCAGACTGAAAACAGTGACTGAGGTGCTAGTCCAAAAGTTCCCTTCTCAGGTTCTATCTAACTGAGACTGGAGACATTCTAGTTAATTTGCATACCTGAAAATTGGGATTCAAATCTAACTTCTCAATTGAGAAAATTATTATTGCGTTTTTAAATTCTTTTTTGCTTTAACACCCAGGTGTGGGACCCTCAGGAGGCCTGAAAATCAAGGATGAAGTTGCTACCAGAGCAACCCCACTTTGTTTTGGTCATTTACACTTTTATTTAAGAATTACTTTAGAAAAAATGTTCCACTGCTTTACAAAGTTTGAAAATCATTGATTTAGACTGGGAGTGTCCGGCCAACCTTGGCCTTAGGAATCAGGATTGTCTACTCCCTCCTAGTCCACAGAGCAAGGCTCAGACACCTGCGGCTCTGGGACCACTCTTCCTCAGCCCCTGTGCTATTTGATTTTTTTCCAATGGCGTGGACTTTACTTATTTATTTATTTTTGAGATAGAGTCTCACTCTGTTGTCCAGGCTGGAGGACAACGGTGCGATCTCAGCTCACTGCATCCTCCACCTCCCGGCTTCAAGCGATTCTCCTGCCTCAGCTTCCCAAGTAGCTGGGGTTACAGGCACAAACCACTATGCCTGGCTAATTTTTGTACTTTTAGTAGAGACGGGGTTTCACCATGTTGGCCAGGCTGGTCTCGAGCTCCTGACCTCAAGTGATTCACTCACCTTGGCCTCCCAAGTGCTGGCATTACAGGCATGAGCCACTGCACCTGGCCCCCAATAGTTCAGACTTTAGATCCACCTCTAGCCCCACATTCAGCCATTCCTCTGCTTCTCCCCTAGCATGTAAATACTCACTCAGGTCTCCAACTGTCTGGCATCTAGTCACATCACTAAGCACCTGCTTCAAAGACAGAAAGGCCAGAGAATGCCTTGAGCCATATGTTCTCCATAACTGCTTGGCTTTGTGGTACTTTGTGCAGGCCTACATAACAGGTCTTCTTAGTGGCCTTGTCCAGAATGGAGTCATCCCTGCTGTCTGCTCCTTGCTCTGGGGTCATCTCTAATACTACAGTTTCACAAGAAGTCTACTATAAATAGTTCTCTCATGTACATCTATTTTCTAGTTTCTATATTTTTACAGTCATTCAGTCTCTATGGTCTCATACTGGGGTGTGTGTATGTGTACACTTTCATTTTACTCCATTTAGTGGGATTTCAGAAGTAAATGAAGGCAAACATATATGCTGAATGTTGTTTTACTAGAAATAACTTACACTCCTTAAAAGATGTTTTTATTTTGAAGCCATTCTAGATTCACAGAAAGTTGCAAACATACAGGTTGAGTATTCCTTATCCAAAATGCTTGGGACCAGAAGTGTTTTGGATTTCAGATTTTGGAATATTTCATTATACTTACCAGTTGAGCATCCCTAATCAAAAAAATCTGAACTCCGAATGACTGAATGAGTATTTTCTTTGAGCACCATTTTAGCACTTGAAAAATTTCAGATTTTGACTTGGGGGAAAATGGATGGTTGTCTCTGTACTGAACATGGACAGATCTTTTTTTGGTCATTATTCCCTACGCAATATACTGTAACAACTATTACATGGCATTTACATTGTATTAGGTATTATGAGTAACCCAAAGATGATTTTTGTTTTTGAGATGAAGACTTGCTCTGTCGCCCAGGCTGGAGTACAGTGGTGAGATCTCGGTTCACTGCAACCTCCGCCTCCCAGTTCAAGCCATTCTCCTGTTTCAGCCTCCGGAGTAGCTGGGATTACAGGTGTGCACCACTATGCCTGGCTAATTTTTGTATTTTTAGTAGAGACAGGGTTTCGCCATGTTGGCCAGAGTGGTCTCAAACACCTAACCTCAGGTAATCCACCCACCTCAGTCTCCCAAAGTGCTGGGATTATAGGCATGAGCCACCATGCCTGGCCCAAAAGATGATCTTAAGTATTCAGGAGGATGTGTATAGGTTATATGCAAATACTCCACCATTATGTATAAGGGACTTAAGCATTTGTGGATTTTAGGGAGTCCTGGAACCAATCTCTTATGGATAATGACAAATGACTGTTCTCTCTTTTTCTGAGCACAATATTCTTTAAAGTTTTTAAATTACAAAAGTAGTATAACAGTGTTGAAATATCTAAAGAAAAAGTTAATGTGTATTTCTTTACTCCCAGGGTAACCACTTGTAACAGTTTAGCATGTGTACGCCCTCATTTCTTTCCATATTATCTTAATGCTGCATGTGAATAATTGGCCTAAACCATCCCTTACTGATGAGCCTTTATATTGCTTAAATTGTTTTGCTCTTATAAATATATTGCATTGAACATTTGTTTTTATACGTTTCAAATTTTGAGCATTTCAGATTTCAGGTTTTCAGATTAGGGTTGCTCAACGTGTCATGTGGAGGTTTCATGTATACTTCACCCAGATTTCACCAATGCCAAAATCTTACTCAACTCCAGTACAGGATCAGAATTAGGAAGTTGACATTGGTACAATTCAGATCTTATTGATTTCACCAATTTTAGATGTAGTTGCGTGTATGTGTGCATAATTCTGCACAATTTTATCTAGTGTAGGCATGTGTAACCACCACCACAATCAAGATACAGAGCTGTTCTACCACAAAGATTCATTATGCTACTATCTTATAGTCATGCCTTTCCCGCCTTCTTACTCCCAACTTCTGGAAATCACAAGCTGTTCTCTATCTCTATAATTTGGTCGTTTAGAGAATGTTATATAAGTGGAATCACACAATATGTATTTGATATTGGCTTTTTCCCCACTTAGCATAATTCCCTTGACATCCACTGGAGGTGTTGTGGGTATCAATAACTTGTTCCTTTTTACTGCTGAGTCATATTCCATGATATAGCTGTTCCACATTCTAATCTTTTGCCCAACTGAGGGACATTTGAAGTGTTTCCAATTTTTAGCTGTTACAAATAAATGCAATGCTTTTCTAATAAATAAAAACCCAAATCATAAAATTCTAAGAAATTACACAAATGTTGAATTTGACACCATTTTTGCACTTTTCAAAGAAAGGGAAAAGTTTGGCTTCAACATTGTTAGTGATTGGCAAGTCCTTGGTCTGAAGCCTCCTTTACTCACCATGAAACATAAACTATGCTCTCTTGAAATCAGTGCACATCTGTGCTGTGGCAAGGAAGCAGGCCTGGTCTTGGCTCAGTTAATTACCCAGTGATTTTATACTCCTGGTAAGACCAGACTCTGGTATGTAATGAGAAGTTTGTTCAAGTCCCTAAGGCCATTCTCCGTAATAATGTGGCCATTTACAATGAGTTATAGGTGATTTCGCTAACACATTCTACATTGTTAATAGGGTAGTTCATTTGTTTGCAATTTATTTAATCTTTTTTACAAAGCCAGGCCCAACCACAGGGAAGATAGTATTGCAGTGTTCTTTGAGTTTTTAGGCAAAACAATTCTCTTAACAATGGTTTCCAGCATCATAAAATGTTTTAAAGGAATTTATTTATTCATTTGTTTAATAAATAAGTATTCATTGAACACATAATATGTGCTAGACACTATTTTAGGTACCAGGAATATAATGGTGACCAAAGCAACCCGACATGGTTACTACCCTCATGAAGCTTATATTCTAATGGGGGAGACAAATTAATCAAATAATCACAAGGAGAAATGTGAAGTTACAACTGGAACACATTCTATACAGGAGAGATGCTATGAAATTGTATAATGACCTGATTATTTCCCAAAAGCCCGACCTCCTAATGCTATCATCTTGGGTGTTCAGATTTCAACATATTAATTTTGAGGGGACATAAGCATTCAGTCCATTGCAATCCTGAACCAGAAAAAGAAAATTAAGGGGACAGTTGACAAAATTTAAATAAGATCTGTAGGATAAGCTATTGTATTCTTAATTCCTTAGTTTTGATAAATTATGCTGATGTACCAAGTTATATTTGGGGAATCTGGGAATTCTTTATACCATATTTACAACTTTGTAAAAAGTCTGAGATTACTTCCAAATGGGAATTTTTATTTAAAAAAATTAAAATGAAGATTAAAAAGGGGGCTCCCCATGTAAGTGCCCAGGGCAATAAATAAAAATAGACTCACATCTTAGAATATCATCATGAAGTTTTAGAACACCACAGGTAAAGAAATATCCTGAAGGCTTTCAGAGAGGGGAAAAAATAGATCACATACATAATTATGAAAATCCTATGGGCACAAAACTTATCAATGGCGTTATTGAAAACTACAAGTCACAGCAAAATAGTCTTGGTGGTAAGGGCTCGGTGACCTCATTCCTTACAGTAGCTAATAAGTGCTATCTTGGAAGATGTCCTTACTGTGTCCACGTTGGCTGTGTGGAACTTACAGGATGTAGTAGTAGTACACCTTGGGGAACTCCTGCTCTTCTTAGAATGACTCCCTTCGCTCTTCCCTCCCTGTTCCCAACATGCTAAGGTCACCCCCCAGAAACCCTATTTATATGTGACTCTGCCCCTCTGGCTTCAGTGGATGGAATTAAGTAGTGAATTTTTTATTCTAAATAGGCCATTCAATGTCCCTTCTTCAGGAATTTGGAAAAAGGATGGAGATGTCTCTCTGAGCTAGACTCGTCAGTGGAGGAAATGTTACAACTCATGGACCGTGGCGTTACCATCTGCCTTAGGAACAGAGCAGCCCCTCTGTCTTCAAGAAAAAAGACTAGAGCACCGGGAGAAGAAAACAGAAGCAAGATGGGTAAAGAAATGCCTGGTTGCAGTCCCTCCTGAGACCAGGCAGCAGTTTTGGTATTGAATTTCTTTTGATGTTTATTGTCCTAAAAATAAATTCCTCTTTTTATTTATCTTAAATTGATGTGTTACTTGGAACCAAATGACTTAAGTAATAGAGAAGAGTGTTTGGATTTCCAAATATCTTAGCCCAAGAGAGTGATTTAGATAGTTTCGATGAAATTTTATAATATGCTGTACTTTCTGGCAGACCAGACTAATCCATAAGGGATGTGATGAATGGTGGAGAATGACCTCATCAAGTCCCAGTGAATGTACATTGTTGGGTAGTTTCCAAACTGGATGGTTAATCACCAGCATTGCCTGGAGGCGCTTTTTAAAAATGCAGATTCTGGACTCCCTCTCACCCTTAGCTATGGAAGGAAAACAGTAAAGGGAAAAGGGGGGATAAATTAGTTTTGCGTAAGGGTGCCTGGATACTTTTGAGAGATTCCATGTTAGATATTCAACTTTCTTTCAATACTTTCTCAAACAAAACAAAACAAAACCCTTGCTGATAATGTGCTTGTGCTTATCATAGCCATTTTCTCACTTTGCAAAGAAAGATAGACCCATAACCATCCCAAATCATGCTGGCCTTGGGTATGAGAACTCCCAGGACACCAAAGAGAAGGCTCCTACAATGATGTGGTTCCCACACAGGGCTTAGAAAACCCTTATTTAGAAAACTTTATTTCTGAGAGTAAAAGCAGCATTCGCATTAGAAATAGGCATTTTGGCTTTGAGATATGTGGTTGACGGTGATGGTAGGAGTAATGATAATTGTTGTTTAACATCTTTCATCTTTAATCTGAGCAGCCCTTTCCTAGTGGTTCCTCTAAATAAGGCGGCTGTTAAAGAATGCATTACCTGGTGAGGAAAAGAAGAGGATATTGGGCTGGGTGTGATGGCTCTCGCCTGTAATCCCAGCACTTTGGGAGGCCGAGGTGGGTGGATCACCTGAGGTCAGGAGTTTGAGACCAGCCTGACCAACATGGTGAAACCCCATCTCTACTAAAAATACAAAAACTAGCCGGGCGTGGGGCACGCACCTATAATCCCAGCTACTTGAGGCTGAGGGCAGGAGAATGGCTTGAACCTGGGACACAGAGGTGGCAGTGAGCCAAGACTGCACCATTGCATTCCAGCCTGGGCAACAGAGCAAGACTCCACTGCAAAAAAAAAAAAACGATATTGGTATGAAAAAGTGAATGCCAATATATTTAAATATTGATTTTTTTTTACCTCTCCAATTACTTATTCCTAAAATCAATTAGAAAGGAACCCATAATCATGTACACCTACTACGTACCCACAAAAATTAAAAATAAAAAAAGTTTATAAAGGAAAGGGAAGCAACTATGAATAGCCAAAGAGTACAGGTGAATAATTCTGATTATTTGAAATGTTTTTCATGAGTACCTAATTTTTTAGGAATAAGCCATAGATAAATTTTTTATGTATTTGGATTTGCTATATATTATTATATAAATATAGTTAAAATTGATTATCAAATTATATCATGAAATATTTATTTCAAATATGGTCAGTTCTCTTCTTTAAAAATGTATTTTGAATAGAAAAACAATTTTTTTAGAGGCAGGGTCTTGCTCTGCCACCCAGGCTGAAGTGCAGTGGCATGATACTAGCTCACTGTGGCCTCAACCTCCTGGCCTCAAGCCTCTGGCCTTCTCCCTCCTTGGTGTAATTCTCATTTTCGTTCATTAAATTTTGCATATTTTTTTCTTCTGATAACCAAGAAATAACATGCTAGCTTCTGGAATTTTTTTTTTTTTTTTTGCAATGCATACACTTTTCTTTCATTAATTCATAGGGAAATTTTGATCATGATTTAAACAAAATTATAGAGTTTGATATTTTTTAAATTAACAGACTTCTGGAGCAATTTTAGGTTTAAAGAAAAAAATGACTGAAAAGTACAGAGAGTTCCCATATATCTCCTTGCCTCTTCCTCGGCCCCCGAAGTTTCCCTGATTATTAATATCTTGCATTAGTATGGTACGTTTGTTATAATTGATGAGCCAATTTTGATTCATTATTATTAACTAAAGTCCACAGTTTACATTAGGGTTAATTCTTTGTGTAATGTATTCTATGGGTTTTTACAAATGTATAATGACATATACCCACCATAACAGTATCAGACAGAAGAGTTTTACTGCTCTGAAATGCTCGTGTGGTCCACCTGTTCTTCCATCTCTTCCCCACAACTTCAGAAACAACTCACCTTTTACTGTCTGCATAGTTTTGCCTTTTCCGGAATGTCATATAGTTGGAATCATATAGTATGTAGCCTTTTGCGGTCGGCTTCTTTCACTTAGTAATATGCACTAAAGGATCCTCTGTGTCTTTTCATGGATTGATAACTCACTACATGCTAGTGCTGAATAATATCCATTGTATGGATGTACTACAGCTTGTCTACCCATTAACCTGTTGAAGGAAATTGTCGTCGTGTTCAAGTTTTAGCAATTACAAATGAAGCTGCTATGTTTATTATTAATTAAATAATAATATGCTATATGTTATTGGCATAAATATGTTATTTATTTATTAACTAAACATTCATATGCAGGTTTTGGGGTAGACATAAGTTTGAGTGATACCAAGGAGCCAAACTGTTGCTGCATGATTAAGAGTGTTTAATTTTACGAAAAACTGCCAAACTGAACGTTCACGCTGGCTCTATCATTTGCAGTGAATTGAAGGTTTTGTTGCTCCACATTCTCATCAGCATTTTGTGTTGTCAGTGTTTTCCATTTTAGCTATTCAAATAGGTGTGTAGTAGTTACTAATTTTTGTTTTGATTTGTAATTCCCTAATAACATATGATGTTGAACTTCTTTTCATATGCTTACTTCAGTCTGTATATCTTTGGTGAAGTGAGGTCTTTTCAGGTCTTGCCTATCCTTTATCAGATAATGCAAATATTTTCTCCCAGTCTGTGGCTTGTCTTTTTATTTTCATAATGGAGTTTGATTTTTATTCTTGATTCTTATCCTTTCCCAAAAAATGAACACCAGAGTTCAATTAAAATAAAATTTTCAGAAGAATATTATGCCTTTTATGATACCTCTAACTTTACAAATAACCTAAAAATTTAGTCACACATTCTATTACATTTTTACAAGGTATCAGTTTAGTGCAAAAGTAATTGCAGTTTTTGCATTGTTGAAATTTGCCATTTGATATTGGAATACATTCTTAAATAAATGTGGTTATGTTATATATCATTTTAAAGCACATTTCTCACTTCTTTTTTGCTGATGACTTATTACTTGCTGCTTATTTTATATTAATTTTGTTTTATTTATCTATTTATTTATTTTTTTTTTGAGATGGAGGCTCGCTCTGTCACCTAGGCCAGAGGGCAGTGATGCAATTTTGGCTCACTACAACCTCCGTCTTTTAGGTTCAAGCAATTCTCCTGCTTCAGCCACCCAAATAGCTGGGATTACAGAGGATATGCATAAGTTATATGAAAATGCTATGACATTTCATATTAGGGACTTGAGTATCTGTGGATTTTGGTATATGAGCATGCTTACACAAATACACCAATTTACGGCTGGGTGCTGTGGCTCACACCTGTAATCCTAGCTACTTGGGGGGCTGAGACAGGAGAATCCCTTGAACCCAGGAGGCGGAGGTTTCAGTGAGCTGAAATCATGCCATTGCACTCCAGCCTGGGCGACAGAGCAAGACTCCATCTCAAAAACAATTTAAAAAAAACAAAAAACAAAAAAAACACCAATTTGAAATAGCCCTCTTTCTAAAAGAATTCTTTATCAATGGATTTTGGCCAGGCTTGGTAGCTCACCCCTGTAATCCCAGCACTTTGGGAGGCCGAGGTGGATAGATCACTTGAGCCCAGGAGTTCGAGACCAGCCTCGAACGTTGTTTGGGTGAAACCCATACAAAGATTAGCTGGGCATAGTGGCTCACACCTGTAATCCCCGCTCCTCAGGAGGCTGAGACAAGACTCACTTGAGCCAGGGAGGCAGAGTTTGCAGTAAGCTGAGATCATACCACTGCACTCCAAGAAGTCTTTTTTTTTTTTTTTTTTTTTTTGCAACAAATTTGGTTGTGATTTACTAACACCAGTTTGAGCAGGTCAGTTCATCCAGACCTCTGGGGCCCATTTCTTTATTTGTAAAATTGGACGAGCGACTATTTCTTTTAGGTTTCCTCAATCTCTATAATTCTTTTATTTTATTATTGTCTTAAAAGTGTCTGGAAAACATTTTTAAAGTACTATATAATAATTATTTCAATATTTTTTCAAGTTTTTTCCCCCACAAAACATGGAATGACTGAATTTATTAATATATTGCTGCTAAATTTTTTTAAGTGAGCCTAAGAGTGAAAAGTCTAAATAATCAGTTGAAGGCATTTTTTCCAACACCTTAAGCTTTGGAGTTTGAAAAGTAGACTGTACAGTCTCCTGAGCTAGAACAGAGACCATCTGGAGGCTGTCAACCTGCCTATTATTTTAAATTCCAGACTCACAAAGAGTTGCAAGTGCTGACCAATACTTCTTTGTTATCAAAACGCCCGTTTGTATTGTCATTACATAGCCTAGATAAACCTTAAAAGACCTGTTTACTTTGAATCTTTAGTTATATGGTAATGCATATTGTTTTTAAAATCTTTTGGAACAGATGTTATAATTCAGAATCACAGTTATCTGTCTAATCGTTCTAGCTAACAAAGCTTGCAAAGTGTGTAACAAATTCTTAGATAACACTGCAAGGCTATGTTAGCGTTTTAACAGAATAGCCAGGATCTTTTTGTTCTAGGCGGTACAAAAGTTCCTTTATCTTTTCTGCAAGGAGTTGGCAGTTTACTCAAGGGCATTTCTAGCTTTTCCATATGCAAACTTACAAGCACATTGCCTACATTTACTCTTTTGACCTGCACAGCAGTTCTCAGCGATAGACAGGGGTGCCGAAACAGTGAGACTGAGGCTTTCTCACTTTTGCACAGCTCCTTAGAGA